AAAACATTGTTTTCCAGGTGCTGGTAGCTCACTCTGAAATTCTAGCTACTCAGGAGGCTGAGATCTGAGGATAGCAGTTTGAAGCCAGCCCAGGCAGGAAAGTCCATGAGACTTTTGTCTCTAGTACAGCCAAAAGTGAAGCTCTGGTAACAGCACTAGTTTTAAGCAAAAAAAAAAAAAAAGGAACAATATGCAGTCCCAGTACTGACACAAAAAACAGAAACAAACACACAAAAAAGCCCTAACCTTCAAACCCCACATTATTTTATGTAAGTCAAAAGGAGGCAAAAATATCAGTTTTAAGTTACACGATCCCAATCTAACTCAAACTAAAGTGATAAGCTATAGAACATATACATAAAAACATAAAATAGTCACCACCTATCATGCTCGCTACTTGGGAGTGGAAAATTGGTAAAGTCACAGTTCAAGGTCAGCTTGGGCAAAATGTTCCTGAGACTTTCTCAATCAATAGCTGGGTAGAGCATATCAGTCATCCCAGTAGGAGGCTGAGATTGTGAGGATCTCAGTTCCAGGATAGGTTGAGCAAGAAATGTTTTCAAGACCCTGTCTCAACAGAAAAATCAAAACATCATGGTCTGTGTCTGTCATCCCAGCTATTGTAGAAAGAGTGTCCTGGGCAAAAAGTGACACCTCAATCACAAAAATAACTGGGCAAAAAGGGCTCATGTGATAGAGTCCCTGACTATCAGGCACAAAAATATGAGTTCAAAAAATCCCCCAATATTAAATATATAATATGAAATTATAAATATCATCTTAGAGCACGGTAGCTACTTACTTTACAAATGTGGCTATGTACCATAAATGAAAATGTAGCATTTATTTACAAAAATAAAACCTTAACAAATACGCAAAGCAAAAATTCAGGCCAAAATCTGTGAACAGTATCATATATCTCAAAACAATGTTGTCAAACTTGTCAGAGATCTCTACCTAGTTTAGTAAAACAAATACAATGGACTTACAAGTTTGTTACACAACATAAACACAACAATGTCAATATCATCATTTCTAATCACTGTTGTCGTCGTCATCATCATCATCATCATCATCATCATCATCATCATCATCATCATAGAGGACTAAACATGTGGTAGGCAAGTGCTCCACAATTGACATATACGTTTAGCTACTTTTTTTTTTTTTTTTTTGCAGTCCTGGGCTTGAATTCAAGGTCTAGGCACTGTCCCTGAGTTTTTTGTTTTTGTTTTGTTTTGTTTGTTTAAGGTTAGTACTCTACCACTTGAGGCACAGCTCCATTTCTAGCATATATTGGAAATAAGAGTCTCATGAACTTTCCTGCCAAAGCTGACTTTGAACCTCAGATCTCAGCCTCCTGAGTGATTAGAATTATAGGCATGAGCCATTGGTGCCTGGCCTAGAATGGGATTGTTAAATGAGGCTACAACAAGCATATACCTACAAAATAACTACAAAAACTGGAATCTAGCACAGGTGTGATTCTCTTATTTACACAAGAATTAAGCTATATGTAGTTATAATAGGATGCAATTAGATTGCTTGAATACATAACTATACATGACCTAAAATACCTTGCATATATGTTCTGTGAACATCATAAAGCTGAAGGTGCTTCATTTCAAACTTAAGAAGTTTGCTTTTCTTATTGAGCCTGGTTGCTTGCTTGAGAGCAAGCAGGTTCAAGCAGTAGGTCTGAGTGATATGTCTCTAGGAAGTTGCACTCATCTATTGTATCTAGTCTTTACTATGCTCTTCTTTGTCACTCTGTACTACTGCTTCTAAAATCTTCCTATTCTAGTATGCTATCCAGGTTGGCCTCAAATTATTTCTCTCCCTTTCACATTATACCTTAGCAAAAGTTTGTAGATCTGATGGATCATACTATTCATTCTTTACTCCTCATATGTCAACCTTGCAAGGGTAATTTCCACTTAGGAAACTTGTAAACACAAATGAATTTTTTTTTGGTTGGTTGTGGGGCCTGAACTCTTGGCCTGGGCGCTGTCCCTCAGCTCTTCAGCTCAAGGCTAGTGCTCTACCACCAGAGCCACATCACCACTTCTGGCTTTTTCTGCTTATGTGGTGTTGAGGAATCGAACCCAGGGCCTCATGCATGCAAGGCAAGCACTCTATCACTGAGCCACTTTCCCAGCTCCAACACAAATGAATTTTGATTTGCTATTCTATAGTTTGTTGATTCCTCATTTACGACTGTGGATGATTTTGCTTAATAGGCAGATGTGTAAGTCTGATGGTTGTCTTTTAGAAAGGACTTTTATCCCTTCACTTTTCCTAAAGGACTCTCCTTACTTCCTAGTCTGAATAGCTAAGATCAGATCCATTCTGATCCATGTTCCTTTATAAGTACAGCCCAAGATACATCACTGAGGACGAGAAATAAGTCTACTCTACTTGTTTAAAATCAACCTTAGCTCTCATTAAGAGTCTACCATATGATGTAAGGCTGATTCCAACATCCTTAAATGCTGTGTGGTACGGGGTAAATGGACCTGGGTGACTTTGTTTAGGGCTGGACATATATAAGACCTGTGAAATCATTTGGTACATGAGAGAACAGACAAATAATGTTTCTTGTTGGCTGCCCATGGTCCATCTGCTTGTGTTGCTAATTTTGCATGGCCTTTAATAATGTTGTAAGTATACAAATGTTCCTTAGCAGAAAAGGGAACCTGACTTTTAGGCATATCCTCATAAGATATCTGTCAAACTCTGCCCCTTCTTTATTTCACTTGACTTTCCCTCTTTTTAGTCTTGTAGTTCTTGCCATCTTGCCAGATCAAATCCTTATTTGTTTACTTTAACTTTACCTTAGTAATTGAATGATGCCTAATGCAGGTGTCCACTTTCTCCCTCTCTTTGTCCCCCGCTCCCCCCTCCCCACCGTAGGGCCTAGGGCTAGAACTCAGAGCCTGGGCATTGTCCTTACGCTTTTCTGCTCAAGGCTAGTGTTATACCACTTTGAGCAATAGCTGTACTTCTGGTTTTCTGGTGGTTAACTGGAGAAAAGAGTCTCATGGACTTTCTGCTTGGGCTAGCTTTGGACTTCAATCCTCAAATCTTAGCCTCCTGAGTAGGTAGGATTATAGGCATGAGCCACTAGCACCCAGATGCTCTTATTGTATAGAAAACACACACTGTTTGGACTATAACATTGACAAAGTTTCCTTGCTTGGTCTATTCTTTATGTATCCTTGGCTAGGAGATTTCAAAAGCTGTATCATTTTAATTCCTTTTTTTGGGGGGGGGAGTCCAGTCGTGGGGCCTGAACTCTAGGCCTGGGCGCTGTCCCTCAGCTCTTCAGCTCAAGGCTAGTGCTCTACCACTTAAGCCACAGCACCACTTCTGGCTTTTCTCTTTTTGCTTATGTGGTGCTGAGGAATTGAACCCAGGGCCTCATGCATGCAAGGCAAGCACTCTACCACTGCCCCTCTTCCCAGCCCCTCATCATTATAATTCTTAACCTTTCAAAGTTTGACATGATTATCTGTTCAACACTGGGGGAAAACTTAAAAGAAACACTGATAAATTGCCACCCTACTCTAACTATTGTGATACTAGCTTTAGGATGCCATGGGAAGGTGGCATTAACAGGATTACAACAGTCTATTAGGAGGATAAAGACTGGATGGGGGTTTTCTATTATTCAGAGATATAAGGAAGCAAATATAAAGACTTCTATATTTATAAAGAGAATTTCAGGATAAAAGAAACATCTTGCTTTTAATGATAAATCAAAACAAATTACCACAGTATTATATAAATGTAGCTGTGAGTAGTTACTGAAATTGCAACAGGGTTGGGCACATGCCTAGCATATACAAGGCTTTGAGTTCAATATGGAAGGAAGGAGAGAGAAAGGGAACTTAAAACAGCAATCTTAAATCAAGGAGTTGAAAAGCCAAGAGAAGGATTTAGTTAAGGTATCTACATACTGAGAAGTTCAGAGGGACAGGTACATAGCTGATTGTAAAACAAATTTATGGAATGCCATATTAGATGCCATAGGTGCTAGTTTGAGTTCTCTATGCAACAGGGGCTTTTCAAGATAATGAATCAACTAGAAATCTCATCAGTAAGTTTTAGTTTACTTTAAAGAAACTTATCATTAATCTAAAAATAGATTACCTTTGTTTTAATCATGTAAAGTGTTATTCAAATCCTGACTTGTTTACTCTTCAGGATGATTTTAGAATTCTAAGATTAACTCAGGCCAAATGGCTGGTATATTTCCAAAAATAATAGGTTTCATACTAAAAAAAAAACCTACCTCATAGGCCTCGAGTATACTATTAAATTTTAAAAGTTCCAAATTTAAGATGTCCAATTACAATTCTCTTTATAAATATAGTCCTTGTCCCAACAGTAAGCTTAAAATAATCTCAGCAGATAATGAAGAAAACTTTTATAGTGAAGGAAGTCAGGAGACTAAACAGAAACTGATATGGGACTTATTCAGAATTCTGACATATTAGGCTGTAATGGCAGAATTATTACCCAACCGATTTTATAAATATCTTATTCAAAGTGAAAGTTTTGGGGCTAGGAATAGAGTGTGGACCTATTATTATGCACATGGTCTTAGATGCAACCCTAAGAACAAAGACAAGTCTTTCATATCAAAGCTCATCACTCATAAGTCTTATAATCTAAACATTACTTACTACTACCACATTTACTTACTACTAAGACACTTAACGAAGTATCATGGGGTATTGCAAACCAAGGCTTGTATGAGTTTTCTATTAAAGACAGTAATTTCTGGTCTGTTAGAAATTAAACCAAAAGGTTGGTTTACAAACAGCAACAGTAAGCTTGTGATTTACTATGCTTCCTTTAGTTTTTTTTTTTTTTTTTGCAACATATCAATAGGTTAGCAACTTTATGTATTTGATGTAACATACTGAAAAATCCCAAAGGTCCACTGCAGATTTCTGGGTTGTCTGTAGAATATGATACAAGATTCTTTAACTCACCTCCAGATGCCTTTGACCTTTCTTTCAACTTTTCTGCAGCCATTTCACCATAGCTGGGAAGTTCTGACATCTTCACTCCAGATCGAGCTTCTGCTATTAGCTGACGAGCTCTCTCTCTCAGCTGCCGACGTCGCTCTTCATCTTGCTGCTAAGATATATTGAACAGTTGCCAACTCAGTAATTGACAGAAATGCAATTTCATTTTCAATCTGATCATCATGATAGTAACTGGTTTACAGCATGGTGCTTGCCCCACATTATAAATAGGATGCTCTATATCAGTTGGATGTCACACCATTTTAAAAAGGCATTCTAGAATCAGATTTTTTTAAACTGACAAATTATTATAGTAAAATGCCCATTAAAAATTCAAATTAAAATATTTGGCAATATATTATTGAGGAAAACTCAGGAATTGTTAATAAGAGAATCCAACTTTACAGAAGGAAGTCACAAGACAGACTTTAAATTAATATCTTGCTTTTTAAAGAATAGAGTATAACTATTTTCTAAGAAAGGCATTGAGCACTGCTATCTTTGATAGCAGCAAATAAATTGGACAAATATAAGAATGGTATTTTTCTATGGAGCAGGAGTGGGAATAGATCAGTACATAATTCTGATTTAAAGATGAGCAATAACAATAACCCAATAGTGATATAAAATTCTTTTTTGGCTATTCCTTCTGTTCCCAGATGAACAATGAAAAAAATAATGATAAAAGTCTAACATAGGTTTTGAATCTACTAAACTAGAATTAAGAGATACAAATAATCAATGTGAAATTATTTTGTAAGCTTGAAAGCAAATAAAATAATCAATATGACAAAACAAAGATTGCAATAATCTGGCTCTAATATATCTTTGTAGTGTTACCCCTTAACATTCACCTCCTAACCTCATAAAACCTTGTATTTATTCACAAAAGAATTGCATGTAGCATGTAGTTTCATGTACTTGTGGCTCTCAATGTTCTTTTCTTCTCCTTAACTCCCACTCACTCTTCAACACACAAACACACACACACACACACACACACACACACAGAGGCGTGAGCCAGTCCTGGGGCCTTGACCTCAGGGCACAGCCCTGGAACTGTTTTTTCTTAAGGCTAACACTCTACCACTTGAGTCACAGTTCGACTTCTGGTTTTTTGGTGGTTAATTGGAGATAAAAGTCTCACAGACTTTCCTAGCTTTAAACCTCAATACTCAGATCTCAGCTCCCTGAGTAGCTAGGATTATAAGTTATGAGCCACCAATGGCCAGCTTGTGGTGTGATACTTGTCAAGTTAAAACTCTGTAGATGTGTACATCTGAGTAGATTTGAGCTACTTAAAGGTATGAGCTAATCTCATTTATCTTTGATGCTCTGGTCTTTAATACAAACCTTGGTAACATGCTAGACGCTACACAAATTTTAAGTATAGTACAGGGATATACTTCAGTGGTAAAGCACATATCTAACATGTGCAAAGCCCTGAGTTCAATCTGTAGCACTGTCCTCTCCAACATGTTCTGTTGATTACATACTAAAGCTAGCCCAGAGGGATTAAATGCCACTGTCATTTTAAAGAGAGTAGCAAGTTTTGACTGCATTAGAGCATGTGGTCTTGAGGATGGAACCTAGGCCCTTGTGATTGCTAGATAACACTGTACCAAGCTCCACTTCAGCCCTAATGAAGATAACATGTAGGATGGATTACTTTAGTGTGGCTGTCGTTGGAAAATATAGATTGCTGCAGCATAGTATGAATATACATTCCCCACCAGCTATTACTCAGAACTTTAATAATAGTAGTCCTTGCTATAATTTGTAACTATTTTGAGGGGAGCATTAACTAGCTGGTTTTTGTCATTAACTGGGATATTACTCAGCTCCCACCAGAGACACAGGGTAATTAACTGACTCTTTTCCTTTGATTACTAATTTTTAAGAGTTGTTTCAAAAGCTGTGTCACAGAAAACATGTCAGTAGCTCTTCTTTTTTTTCCATTTTTTTTTTTT